TGTCTGTTTTACATGATGTCTTTCTGTTTAGGATTTGATTGATATTTTATGGAGGCAGGATGTCGATTTGGGGGTGAAGCGAGAGATCTTTGATGGATGTCTTCGGCAGAGAGAGGAGGAGATCACGAGAGCAAGAGAAAGAGAGCTTAAAAGGATAATGCAAAGGATACAGAAACTAGACAAGGAAACTGGAGAGTTTTTGCCTAGTCCTTCATCTGTGAACTCCCAGGTGACCATTTTATTAACTACACATGTAAACAAATAAACAGTGTGCATCCCTAATATTAATAAATCTCTCAAAATAACACCTGTGTGCACACCCACACACTCTCTATTGTTTAGTGTTGCTTACAGAGCTATTTTCACCATGTTTTAGGCTGTGCCCTTCTCAGAGACATTGCATTCTACAGAGTTTACTCAGCGTTCACCTGTTACCCAGAATCCTCTGCTGTCTGCTCTGCTATTCTCTCAGAAGTCTCAGAAGCCTCCTTCTCAAGAGCAGGCTTTTAGTGAACTGCTGTCACTGCCTGACTTACAGGTACTTATGTACACAATGCAGAAAGATGTACACAGACATGCCTGAACTGGTGCATGGTTGGCGTTTCATTATGGAATACATTTTCTTTCTTGCAAGTTTACAGACAAAGTTACATTAAATTTGGGTAACCGTAAGTTGTAAGAGGCTGTATGGTAATTATAAAGCCACTGAATTTATTAAATCACAAATAAGTCAGCACATTCTTAATAGAGTTGCCTTTCTACCTTAGAAAAATATAGTGAGCATTTAATGATGGTTTAAATTAAGTGTAAAATAGATTAAAAGTTAACATAATTGACAGATGCCTAAACTGTTGTTGGTAGCTACCATACAAGATAAGATCTATATTTTAATATATTTACTCAGGTATTATTTCTAAATTGTAACTACAGTATGATTCAACCTGTTTATTTTAAATGTGCTTTATAAATTAAAAAAAATAGGCTTTGTCTTGGCTGTGACGTGAGTGGCAATTATATTTGCACAATTTCATAAAAGTATCTAGTTGTCAAATCAATCTGTTAGGTATATTTAGGTAAACATTAATACCAGATAAGGGATTATAACCAAGTATCTAATCAGTAATATTAAAAACGTTAAAGCAATAGTAATTCATTTGAGGTGTGTACTTATTTGCGATATGATGAGTTAATGTTTAGATTTTTCATGGAATAGCATGAAGGTAATGTCCCCACTATCGTAAAATGGCATTCTGACATATCACAATTGTCTCTAGCATGGCCTTGTCTCACATGTAACCCACAGCTCACACAGTCCCACTCCTCCAAGTCTAGCATGGGTTGTTGAGTAATAGACTGTAGTAGATCCTCTGCTAGGATAGTGACTGCATTGAGTGTGCTTGTGACCACTGTCCTGTATCATAAAATAACAAGTGAGACACCCCTCAGTGAGAGGAGGATGTGATTTTGGAGAGAGGGAGCGGTCTGATTCAATGGCCAAATATGGCAGAAGTCAGCAAAATGGCAAATATCACTTACAGCACCTTTAATACATGATAAAATGGTCCCAATCACTTTAGATTAGAACACATTTTGTGTTAAATTCAGTATATTTTTTTTCAATGCATGTTCCATTTATTTACTCAAAACTACAATAAAACAGTAATATTGTGCAATATCATTACAATTTGAAATATCCGTTTTCAAATTTTAATATAAACATGATTTATTCCTGTGATGGCAGTGCTGAATTTTCAGTGTCACATGATCCTTCAGAAATCATTCTAATATGCTGATTTGCTGCTCAAAAAGCATTCCTTCTTATTTTCAAAGCTTAAATATTAAGTGCTGTTTAATATTTTTGTGGACACTGTGATATATACAGTATATTTTCAGGATTCTTTGATGAATAAAAAGCATCTATTTGAAATAGAAATCTTTGGTAAATGCCTTTCATGTAACTTTTGATCAGTTTAATGCATCCTGGCTGAATAAAAATTTATATCTTTCAAAGAAACTTACAGACCCCAAACCTTTAAACAGTAGTGTAAATATTTTAGATTACCATGTACAGCCTATGCACATTTTCACTAAAATCTCAGTGGGCATATGAATAATACGCAATCCATCGATATAAATGTTATATTTTTAATACAAGTAAAACATTTGTGACTCCAAAAAGTTTATACGAAATATGTATAAATGTGGAGGTTGCAAAATAATATCATACCTCTTTGTAAACTGCAGAATAAAATAATCAGAATAATTTTTTTCTCACAAAAATTAATTTTAAAATGTCTAATATAATTAAAATACTGTTTTGTTTCTCTGTTAGTATTATTTGGATGTCCTGGAGTCTGAGGGCTCAAGCTTGCCCCTAGAGGACATCACCGAAATCTGCCACCAGAACCTGCCCAAGCCACAGAGGGAAAACTCAACAGATGCGCTATGTGGCATCACACAGACAATATCAGACTCTTTTGAGGTTGCTCAGCCTTTGTCATGCATGCCCTCTGATCCCATAGAGATCCTGGAAACATGCACACAGACATTCTCAGATCCAGGAAATCCTACACCTTCACCTTCAAACACAATTTACAGCTGCAGTACCCCTGAGAATCAAGTGATTTTACCTAAATGCCACATAAACTCAAGCGATTCAACCCTCAGTGAGTTTTGCCCATATACCATCAATACCAGTAAACCTGAACAATTAAATAGTGCACCTGGAAGGGACGCTCCACAAACGCTTTTACAATTTGAGGAGCGCCACGTTCTGCTGGGGTTTGATGACTCTGCTTCTGTGGGCTCTTTGGATTTAGAGACATCCCTCTACGCTGCTGACACCTTAAGTAATGGAAAATCAGACAAGGATGAGCTGGAGAGCATCCAATCAGATTACACCGATCTGCTGTCTTTATCTCTACACTCTGATGCTGTGGAGGCAACACTGTATGAAACTGTTACTTCTGCACAACACCAAACTCAAAATGAATCAACACCTAAATATTCACCTCAAGCAAATCCCTTAGCCACAAGCAGAGCTGCAGGTGTCCGGCGCGTATGTCGTGATGAACAGCGGGCCCAAGCCATGAGTTTGCCGCTTAGTGTGCATGACATCATCAACCTGCCTGTGGAAGCATTTAACGAAGCCATCGGCTCTTGCAAACTCAACAACGCTAAATATAGCCTCATCAGAGACATTCGAAGACGTGGTAAAAACAAGATGGCAGCAGAGAGCTGTCGCAAACGAAAGCTGGATGGTCTCTTTGATCTCGAAGACGAGATTGAGGGGCTGAAGAGGGAGAAGGAGCAAATCAAGGAAGAAAACGAGAGGAACGCTAGACAACTTCAAGAGACGAAAGAGAAGCTCAGGAAGCTTTACAATGAGGTGTTCAGACAGCTGAGAGATGAACATGGAAACTCCTACAACCCTAGAGAGTACAAACTACAGCACAGCACTGATGGCACGGTTTACCTGCTGCCACGTGGCACAGCCAACAAGACAAATATGCCAACAGAGGATTTACCTTTTGCTTTATAATAAACCTGAAGTACAGCAAAGCTCTTTTCGTGTTTGTAACTTTACACACCAGGGACTTTAGTTTTGGGATGTTGTGGTCTTGAGGAATCACAATGTTTGTGTCTGGCATCCACATTCATCTCCTATTGATTCTGAGGTTGGTTGAGTGACAATTTATGCAGTTACATTAGCATCATCCCCCAGCCGCTGTTTTCAGTCATGCATTACAGCTACTGTCTACTTGAATAGGGAAAGAATGAAATCTACAAAATTGTTGTCAATGTTACATTTAAATGACAATAAAATTGAACAACTATGGTATTATAAATTTTAGCTTGAATCATGAGGCTGATACAGTCAATGCAAATACATACATATATACTGTATATGTACATATATACTGTGTGTGTGTGTGTGTGTATACACACACACACACACACACACAAAACTGTTCAAAAGTTAGGTGTTGTTAAGGTTTTGTAAAGTCAACTTTTTAAAAGTCTTTTGATCAAACATGCATTAGAAACAGTAACAACTATTAAATATTACAATTTAAAATAACTGTTTTCTATATTTTTCTATATTTAAACATTTAATTTTTTAGTAATGGCAACACTGAATTTTCAGAAGCCATTACTCGTCTTCAGCATCACATGATGCTTCAGAAATCAATCTAATATGCTGATTTGGTGATTAAGAAACGTGTAGTTATTATCAAGGTTGAAAACAATTGTGTTGCATAATATTTTTATAGAAACAGTGATACATTTTTTTTTCCAGATTTCTTTGATGAATAGAAAGTTGAAATAGATTTCACTTTTGATCAGGTTAATTCATCCTAGCTGAATAATCGCAAAATTCTCTTTTACTGACCCAAAAACTTTGGAACAGTACAGTATACTCTATAGAAACTATAGAAAATATATGTGTGTAGACTTATGTATATTCATCTCTCACACAAGTTTGGAAATAGGCAGAGATTATTTATTGACAACTCCAGAATTTTACAGATTATATGACGAGATTCTGAATAAATGAAATATTCATGCTATATGTAGTTGGAAACTGTAAGATTTCTTGGAGGGCTGTCTAAAATACATATTCTGATGGAAAAAGATTTGATGCATGTACTGTGTATCTGCAACAGGCAATCTGTTTTAACCACATTATTTTGCATTCAAATACTCATGTAGATTGTCATGTAGTTCCAATATCTTTAAATCCAATAAAAACTGTTTAAAAGCTAAATACAATGACACTTAATTTATGTATTCACTGAATATTGAGTATAGGACTTCAATTTTATGCAGCATTAATACACCCCCTGCTGGAGCAAAAAGAACAGCAACATTATGCTAAGTGTTTAGCTGCATCAAAGGACTGCCTCTACATTAAAATGTTTAAATAACATATCTTACATATTATAACACGTTTGAACTTCCTATGAACAGAATTCATACATTCTGTCTACATGGCATCACTAGGTTCTGTCATTCAGAAACATGGCTAGTTCAGTTGGCCTGTGACATTGAAAGTACAACAATTAGTGAAAACAGCATATGAAAACTGAGTTATGTTACATGTCTGTATGTGTACAGACATTCAGAACTCACTGATGCTCAACTTCTGGTATTTCAGTGTATGTGCACAAAACGTACTGTTTGTTGAAAAAGTAGGGCTGTGTTCCCAATCGCTGTGACAAGGCCTGACAGCACTGACTCACATCTTCATACACCTGAGAAGAGGAAACCCGCACGAAACTTTATGTACCGCACATTGATGAAAGAAAAACACACAAACTGACTTGGACAGTGAATTACACTGAATTAATATATCTGCACACAAAAAATACCTGCTCCAGACTCTTTCCAGACCATCCAATCGCATTCATCTTCCTCCGTACCTCCCACTGCTTCTGATAGGCCAGAATGTGATTGAGGGGCCAAGAATAGGGACTACTGTATCGTGGCCTAGAGATCTAAACACACACTCCCATTAAAAATCTAACATGATGTTATATATTTATATATCTATCTATCTATATGCTGACATTTAGTGCCACTGATGTCATCTTTGTTAATATGATATATTATATATGATTTGGGAACATCCTTACACGTGACACATACCTCTGTAGCAGTATAGTCATCACACCACTGGATATACAACTAGAAAGAACAGGTAAATTTTCACTAGTCTGCACAGTTTATCACTTTTAAAATATTTATGTGAAGATAAAATACATATATAATTAGAGAAATCCACAAGCAAAGATACAAAATGTGCTGGAAATTGAGCTTTTTTTATACAAATGTATCAATCAGAGTTTGTGCATATGGCTACCATTCAAAGGTTAGGGGTCAGTAAGGTTTTTTTTTTGTTTTTTTTTAAAGAAATTAATACTTTTATTGAGCATGGATGCATCATATTGATCAAAATGTACAATTGTTACAAAGTAACATTCCATTTCAAATAAATGCTATTCTTTTTAACTTTCTGTTCATTAAATGATCCTGTAAAATGGATTAACACATAAGCAGCACAGCAACAACATAATATTAGTAATAATAATAATAGTATTTTTTTATTTTATATTATATTAGTATATTAGAGTAATATATTAATAGTACATTCGAATGATTTCTGAAGGATAACGTGACACTGAAGACTGGAGTAATGGCTGCTAAATGTTCAGCTTTACCATCACAGGAATAAATTATTTTTTATATCAAATAAATTATATTTTAAAATATATTCAAACAGAGTTGTTTTTGTAAAACATACTTCATAATATTACCCTTTTACTGTATTTGAACCAACTAAAAGCAGCATTGGTGAGCATAAAAGACTTCAAAACAAAATTGTACCGACCCCAAACTTTTGAAAGGTTTTGCATGCCGACGCGTGCAGGTCTGTACCTCTGCAGTCAGCAGCATGTTATTGACCAACTCCATGTAAGCCTTCATCTCTGCCCTCTGGACATCATCCAACCCGTCACTCAAAGAATGACCCTATGGACAGCAACAGTCAAATATTGTAGGATTCATGTGGAATTTGTTTTTAGAGTGAGAGTGATACCTTTGCCTTTGTGAACTGAACAATTAGCCCCAATTCTGACACAACTTGATTTCCAACGTGGATGAAAGGAACCTTCCCTAATGAACAGAGAGGAAGAGACATTTCAAGACATATAAACAAACTCTAACTAATACATTCAACCTGACAAAGCCGAAGCTCTTAACCACCACCCTTCCAACATAAGATAAGACTAAGTAAAGCATTAAAAAAATAAAACAAAAACCTGAAAATGAGTGACTGTAAAGTAAAGAGTTTGGTTGCTCACCTGAAGGTGACATGTATTCAGCATTGGCACGGCAGGACACCAGCACTGGCAGGCCACACATCCTCAGAAAAGTCTGCAAAACAAGAATAACTTCACTAACAAAAATATATATTTGGGCTTCAAGTTGCCAATGTGAATTGGTGAGTGTGTAAATTGCCAAAGCGATTAAGGCACTACTTTTCACCTGAACGGCCAGAGAGGATGCAGAATCTGATAGCAAGATTTGATCCTCTGCAAAACAACAGAAAAGAATATTAATGTGTGTTTCATTTGACATCTTTTGTAGTTGCAAAGAGTTCATTCTAAATGTATAACTAATAAACAGCTTCTTTTTTTATCGGTTACCCTTAAGAGGTTGGTACAGAGTTGCATTTTCAGGCCATGGCTCAGCAGCTGCAATAGAAAATGACATAATATGAAATACTGATATCTCACAAATAATACTGTATCTTTCCATTTTTTAGAAACTCTGACCCTAAAATATCTATCTACGCTCTATGTGGGCTTACATTACATTAATAAACATTTAATGTGTTTCTTTATCTTTGACCCTGACAGAAGCACTGAAAACAAAAGAACTGTATCTGCTAACATCTAAAATAAAAGACTCGTAAACAGAAGCAGTGGCTTAACTCTACTAATATGCAGAGAAATGAAATGACTGTGTTGAAGGTAAGTACCGATTATTATCATCCTGACCTGCCCATCTCTAGCACAAAACACTAACACAGCCATATGGACTCGCTGCATTACACACAAGCCAAAACATTACCTGCAATCTGAGAGACGAAAGCCTCTGCAGCAAGAGACATGGCGGCGCAGAGGAAATCTACTTTAATCTAAGCACAACAACTGATCGAAAAACTGAAATGGCATTCATTTCCCACGCAAGGGCAAAGCAAGCGCCTGTCCCAGTGTAGTGACGACACTCTGGAGTTTTTCCTGCTTTCTAGCCAATCACGTTCCTCCTCCTTCTTCTTCTTCTTCTAATTTTATTGGCGGTTGGCAAACCAACTTAAAGGTGGTTTTCAACATTTACCGCCACCTACTGGACTGGAGTGTGGGCAATCGCTTGATAGAAAGGAAGGAGACGAGAACATTTTTTTACCTATATATTTCTATTAAATTCTTTCACTTATCCCAGTATTTTTCAAATAATTAATTAGGAGACTATGTATTTTCCTAGACATTGTTTTTCCTAGCAGATTTCCCACTGTCATGTTTTGTTTTCCAACTTGTGTTTCTAACTCCCTTTTTTCTTCTTCATGCCTTTTACAATCTAATAAACTATGTTTTACTGTCTCTTGTGTGTTGCAGTGGTTGCAAAGACCAGTGGGGTGTTTTCCTATTCTCTGTCATGTAAAATTTAAACCAGCATGACCTATTCTAAGACGTGTAATTATCTTTCGGATTCCTGCTCTGCCTAATACTACTTATGCCTACTTGTTTTTGTATGTTATACAGATGTTGTCCAGTATCGGTTACTATGTCCCAGTATTCTTGCCATATTTTGTTTGTATGTCCCTTAATAATGGTTTTGATTTCTGTTCTACATAACGGTATTTGTATATCAACTGTTTCATGCTTTATTGCTCCTCTTGCCAGAATATCTACAATCTCATTTCCTTCCACCCCTACATGAGCAGGAACCCAAAGGAAGGAAACATCCAGCCCTTTATCATACAGTAGGCCTATTAAAAGCAAGTTCAATATCTGGTATATGATATCTTGTCTACATGATGTTTTCCCAGACTGAATACTAGATAAGCTGTCAGAAGTTATGATTACATTTTGGTTCTGTTTATTTCCTTCCAACCACTGTAATGCCAATAAAATTGCTAAAAGCTCTACTGTGTACACCGATAAATGATCTGTTCTTTTTTTAACTGCTATTTCATAATGCGAAATGGAGAAAGCAGCCCCAGTACGGCCTGTCTCTGGCTGCTTTGATCCATCTGTAAATATGAATAGTTTGTCTTGATAAAGGTCCATATAGTTTTGAACTATTATCCTCTGTGGCGTTATTTTAGTGTTTCTTTTAACATTTGTTGACGGCTTATATCTACAGATGGCTTTATGAATTTCCAAGGTGGTACAGTTGATAGTGCCACAATGGGGCTTACTTGGAGCTGGCTGAGGCTTGCGTTTTGTGCTTTTGCATTTCCTATCCATCCAAAACTGTAATAATTAGTTCTACTATGTTCTGAACAATCTTGTAAGATGGCCTTTGTGGGATGTACTCCGCTATGCCCTTGTAGATTTATCCAATACGCCAGCATGATCTTGATACTCCTAATATGTAAAGGCATCTCTCCTGTCTCAACTTGTAATGCAGATACTGGTGATGATTTAAACGCTCTAGTACAAATCCGAAGTGCCTGTGCCTGTTCCACATCAAGTTTTTAAGGTTTGATTCTGATGCTGACATACACTGAACAAAATTATAAACGCAACACTTTTGTCTGATAGACATCTTAAAACATTATTAATCTTTTTACATTTATTCCTAACCTTATCAATATGTTGACACCAGGTCAACTTCTCATCAAAAAACACTCCCAAGAATCTTACAACCTTAACCCGTTCAAGATCTTGCCCATACAGTTTAGGTAATACTGTTTTAGGACGTTTAGAAAAGCATATCACTTTTGAGATTGAACATTTAAATCCCCATTTATTTGTCCACTGTTCTACATTTCATATTGCATTTCCTTCTTAAATATTCTATATTCCGACCTCTAACCCAGAGTGCCCCATCATCTGCATAAAGTGACTTGCGTATGTTTCCTTCAACCTGATCAAATATGGCATTAATCATAATATGAAATAATATTGGACTACATACACTGCCTTGTGGGATACCATTTTGTACTGTATATCTATTTGAATATTATGTGCCTACTTTAACTTCTATTATTCTTCTATTCAGGAAATCTAATACCCAATTATACATCTTGCCACTTATTCCTAATTTATTAAGTTTAATAAGAAGTCCGTCCTTCTCCACAGCATATCATATGCCTTTTCAATATCGATAAATACAACAATTACATTTTCTTTATTACTTTGAGCTTTCCTAATTACTGACTCTAGGCATAATATCACGTTCCTCCACTTCCGATAGCGTAATATGAAAGCGGCATTTCACTGCAGAAGCTACTTTTTGCAACATTATTCTTAGAACATTTTCTTTGCCTTTTTTTATTTTAGTTTGTTATAAGCACAATACAACTGATTCCGGCTCTGTATATTTTATAGTTATTTATGTGCTAATTTATTTTATAGTGGAGGAGCAGGTGTCTGCAAGTGGTCATTATGGTGCCATTGGAACTGGGCGCGGACAGTAGCCTAAATCATGTGCGCACGCCTTGCACTGTGTGTGAGCCGCATCTCAATTGTTCAAATGTTAGGCTATTATTATCCTAATACGTACAGATATTGACACTATTTATTACAGCTCATCAATATAAATATAGCATTAATACTCTATGTTAATATGTATACTCTATGTTAATATGTTAAAGTGCCCCTATTATGGGTTATGGAAAGGTTCATTTGGTTTTGGGAGTACCCAACAACAGGTTGACATGCATGCAAGGTCATAAAACACTTTCATTGTCTTATAATATGCATTTATTTTTACCTTACTTGCTCAACAACTCCCAAACGATTCGCTCAGCTATTCATTTTTCCAAACCCCTCCTTTGCGTGACACTAATCTGCGGTGATTGGTCCGACTGGTCTCATTTTCATTTCATCATGAGCCTGTAATGCCTGATAAAGCAGTGTTTGTGAGCGAAGTGCTGCTTTGTGTACAGCGTTCCTGGGGAATAACCGGCCAAATCTCTGAACATGGATTCATGCGCAGGAGTCAAATTTGTTCATGAATTTAATATCAGAGTCCTTTCCAAGAAAAATTTTTTTCAGCAAATCTAGACATTAGACTCATGTTTGAAACATGAGACATCGCAGTGCAACATCAAACAAGGAGACACGGGCAGACTATACAGCGAACTAACTAAACCGCGGAGGAGTTTCAGACGAACAACTCATGAACTTGAGGAAGCTGTCCGTTGGGCTGCGCGCGAAGAAGGATATTCACCGTGGATGAGGTGAGTGAATGCTTGTGTGACATCATTTTTGGGAGATTATTGTTCATTTTAGCAGTATAGAGCAGAATTAGTTATGTTCTGTCATTGTTTTCCGAACTGTGTTTAACGTTACCTTTCAAGTTTTGCATTTCTGATCCGGTGGCCGCTGTGCTGTGCTGCATTAGCACTGCAGATTGTAATGTAACGTTTGAGATTTGACACAAAGTTGTTTCTCCACCTGTTAAACATCGTTAAGATGGGCAATTTGAGCGATTATAGGTGTATTTTACCGTTAAAGTGGGTAAGTTACCAGTTGGCTTTGCTGAGCAGGCTCGGCATTTTCGCGCCCACTGGAAGTTTATCCTAGTCAGGCTTCGTGCGTTTGAGCTGGTATTCGTTACTGAGTAAAGTTAAGCGGTTATTTTTTTTTATTTTTTAATCAACCGTTCGAGCTAGTTTAATATAAGTTAACTTGAGGTAGACGACGCCCGAGCTGTTTTCTACGACGCATGAACTAATCGTCACCAGTTTTGTCAGTTTGTTCTATTCAAACTAGATGAACATATGAAACTTCTTAAT